CTGCTGTAGACACACATGTTCTCCATGTGCAGACAGCTGCTGTAGACACACATGTTCTCCATGTGCAGACAGCTGCTGTAGACACACATGTTCTCCATGTGCTGACAACTGCTGTAGACACACATGTTCTCCATGTGCAGACAGCTGCTGTAGACACACATGGTCTCCCTATCTAGGCAGCCAGTGTAGAAATGTGTTTTGTATGTGCAGGCAGTCAGTGTAGACATACATGCACTCCATGTTTCATCCCAAACTGGTTTTTAAAAATAGCAATTGAATGTGTCATGCTCTTGTTTTAATAGTTTGTGTGTTGACTCTAATTTATGTTAAATGGAACGTTTACAATTTGTTAGTTTTCCGTTGATAGAGGACAAGGTGTGTTTCATACTATCACGTGGCTGCCATGGTGCTTGGAAGCTATATTTAAGGGTCCCATCCAACCATATCCTTGTGTCTAAGCCGTAAGAGATCCATAGAAAAGCCAAAGTTGGTTGTTGCTCTCGCAAGTGACAATTGAACTCATTGTCCCTTCGGTTTGTCAGTCTTGTCGACACGAGACCCGGCGTTAACGAGCAGTTTCCTGTGTTCACCAGACGTGCTCACTCTGCAGTTCCGCTGTGGAAGAGAGGAAGGTCTTCGATTTTCACAGCTAGTGGACAGCACAGCTGTATCCTCTGTCCCCCGTAGCCTGTGTCCTTTGACTTCTGATTTGCCGGCACTCAGTGCAGAATGGGAATTAAAATGATGAAATCGTGACTCTGATTTCAGTAATAATCTTGCTTAATAGTTACCTGAGAGACGGAAACCTCGGTGCTCTCGCTGTGAGCCTTGTGAGCCATTCATTGAAGATGCTGGCTTTTGTCTTTCCCTAGTGTTTAGTGCCTGAGAGACCCGAGTAGATTGTTCAAGAAGACAGGCTCACTGCTCTTTCAGATTAGTCTCTAAGTTGTATGCTAATTATAAAGATTTTTTTACATGAAAGATTTGCTCAGTCTGTTTTTGAGGAAGTTTTTACGTGGATGGATAAATGTGGTGAGTTAAATCAACAGTGATGGAAGGATCACAGTGAAGACGTCATGGAGGATACATGAAATGAACGTGACACTGACAGGAGGTTGCTGGGATGAGGAAGGGGCCGTTCACCTGGGACCTGTCGGCGGGAGTGGTGCAGGGGAAGAGCAGGGAGGTGGTGGCAGTGGCCTGTGGCAGAAGCATGCCTGTGGGGCGGGTGTGTGGCTGCTGGTACAAAGTACAGCCCTTTAGGTCTTTTCAGGTGGTCTTGTCTTGTCTTACAGGCTGCAGAGACCTTTGATGGCGAACACAGTGGAAACCAAGCGATGTCCCCTGCTGTCCCCTGGGCCACCTTTCCTGCAGGTACTACCACCTCCTGGTCACTGGATTCTTTTTTTCCTCTATTTAAAGTGGTTTTTGCTGTTTTTAAAACCCATTTCTCAAGGTTTTTTTTTTTTTTTTTTATCTGAAAAATACAGTGTCCTAGATTTACTCTGAATCCAAATTTTCTTTTTCTCAAAGTCTGAATTGCATTGCACCGTCTATGCTAGCTGGAGGCTGGCTGTAAAAGGGGAGGAGGAGCACTGACTCTTACAACACATATCGCTCAATTTTACCTTGGTGTAGGAAGGTGTCAGGATGCTTCCTGGGTCATCTGTGCATGACAGGCTCCATTTTGCGTCTTACTTTGTGATGCCCATTACTGTTCATATACAACAGTTTCTTTATAGTGAAACATTCACGACTACTACAGATTAAAAATAACAGTTGATCAATAAATATTTTCAAAAAATGTTCGCTATCCTACCCATCTTGAGATGCACATCAAATTTACCCTGGGACCCCATCTTACGCTGTCAGATGAATGCTCATCCTCAGAAAACAATGATGGAGATGCTGGAGGGGAGACGAGGCAGGAGGGATCCTGTCAGCGTGTTTATGGTCTAGAAAACGGTGGTGGGATGTTGCGATGTTTGTTCGTTACCTAACCACGCTTGCCTGAAGATCAGAGTGCAGAGCTAAGCCACTAGTTAGCCACAGGGCTGGGTGGTGGTGGGACACACCTTACCACTCAGCACTTGGGAGGCAGAGACAAGCGCATCTCAGTGATGTTGAGGCTTGCCTAGTCTATGAAGCGAGTTCCAGGACAACCAGTATTGTTATACAGAGAAACCCTGTCTTGAACCCGTATATCACTACAGTTGGATACTGTGGGGGCGAGAGGAAAGAGGAACTCTTAGCTGCTGCTGGGGGAACACAAGCTAGTGCAGGCACTCCCTGACGCCGGTTTGACGGTTTCTCAGAAAAGTACAAATGGAACCACCATATTCCCCAGCCACTCCCCGGCACATACCTTAAAGGCTTGGTGTCTCACTGCCAAGATCCACACATCCATATAAGATGCTGTAGCTTGGAGGGTTGGTTTGGGCGCTCACAGCCAGGGAATGAAGAGGTAGAAGAGGCAGAATTCTATGAGGTGATGGGGAAAGGCTCCTTCAGTGCCTGGACATGAGAGGCAGTTTCCAAGAGGCTCTCATCCCTGGTGTCAGAGACTGCAGACTGCTGAGCCAGAGACTTCTGTCTTCCCGCTTCTCTCCTTCTGTCCCTTCCCCAGAAAAACCTCAGATCTGAAGATGGCATTTTTCCAGTTTCCTTATCAGTTTGCAGAAATAGCATTAATAGGCATGGCTACAGGTGGACCTTTGCTGTGGCCATCTCCCTCTGGCTGCTGCTGCTGCTGGATGCAGGTTTTCTGATTTATCTGCATTTCCAGGAGGGTGGTGTGATTGGGTGACTAGGGATGACATCCACACCAGACCTGTCTATAGTCTATACAGACAATACGTTTTCAGGGGGTATTTCTTGAAAAATAACTCAAACATTTGGTTTAAGTTTTAGGTATTTTGGGGAAGATGGGAAGGCTCATTTTCAGGGTCAAGGCAAGACTTTGGTTAAGCAGCCACTGTAAGGTTTGTTATCCTAGTGCGTGTACAGCCTCGAGACAGGGCTAGATGCCAATTTCTAAACACACTGGGGATAATTAATGTCTCTCTTGACATCTTTGGGGCTCCAGTAACTCAGGATGTGTCTTCTACACAGGTGCTCACGGACAGGCAGCACTGTTGGTGGGCTGGATGAGCGGCGAGATGTGTACCGTACCCTCTGTGCACACCCTCTGCCCCATCCTCCTCATTCCTGTGCGGCCTCTGACCATTGTGGCTCCTTTTCTTGTGACCACATAGCCGATAAGAGATGGCTTAACAGGGGAGGGTTTATTTTGGTTCATGATTTGGGGGATACAGCCTGTCATGCTGACAGGAGCGGGAGGCAGCTGTCGTGTTGCATCCAGAGGTAAGAAGCAGAGAACCGTGAAGGCTGATGTCCAGATCTTCCTCTGTGTTCAGCCTTGAGACATCCATGCATGTGGTGGCCCCATTCTATCCTGCCCTGTCCTACACACAGGATGAGTTTTCCCTCCTTTGTTAAACCTCTCTGGGAACTCCCTCACCCAGAAATGTGTCTCCTCAGAGATTCTAAATCTAGCCCGGTTGACAGCGAAGATCATAATTGTACTTATGTTATGGCATGGATGATGTAATTGAAGATGGTGACCATTCCTGCAGCCCACAGCATTGCTGTAGTTCCAGGGAGAGCTGGCCAAGGGGGAATGCTACCCTTGGGACCATTTTCTAGTTCTGTTGTGATACCTGAAGCACCGTCATAATGCCATCTTGTTCCTCCTGCTCTGTGCTTGGTGTATCCTAATTCATATTTGAAAATGGTGATTCAGTTTGCCATCTTGTTCCTCCTGCTCGGTGCTTGGTGCATTCTAATTTGTATTTGAAAGTGGTGATGAAGCTTGCCATCTTTCTTATCCTAATGTATAGGTTAGTACTGTGTCTTGTACAGCTGACACCGGTGACCTTCCCTCTCCCTTCCCCTTCATTCCTGGAAACCACTGACCGTGTGAAGCCTGTAGGTGTTCATGGGTGATCACCTAAGCTGATGGCTGTGCCTGGCTTATCCCAATCAGAACAGTGCCCTCAAGTTTCATTCTTGTTCACCATCTGCCCCAGTTTCCTTTTTCTTTAATCCTAATATCCCAGTTTTTATTTATTTTTATGGACACTTGGGTTCCTTTTGCCTTTGGCTATTTTGAATGGTGATACCGTGAGGATAGTTGTTACGTGATTTTAAACTGTGATCCCATGTGTGACGTCTTTACATGCCTATTATAGTCTTTTTAGGGCAGGAAATAGGTTTGAATCTTTGGGAATTAGAACCACTAAGGTAGTGATACCTTAAGGAGCCAGTGCTCTGTGATTCTTGATGACTGCTGAGTAGATTTACTGCAGTTATCTCTTCTTGGTTATTTTCAGTCCACGGTGAATAATTAAGTAGTCTTAATGATAAGATATAAGAGCAGAAAACTCAACTTTGCTTCAAAAATATATCAGCCTTGGAAACCTTCAGTAATTGCTAAGAACTGGATGTGTGTGTTTGAGGTAAGTGTTCTGAGGATGTTCAGTTCAGACGCATGACCAGGAAGTGGTGATTGATAGGAGTAGTCACGGGGCTGTGACCCGGATCAGCCAGTAAAACACCCATCCCTGACAGCTGAGTTCCACCTCCGGAGCCCTGGTAAGAACAGAGGACCAGCGCGTGCAGTGTCCCGACTCCCGTGAGTGCCGTGGCAGACACGCCGTCCGCATGCACACGTTCACGATGGGATCTGTTTCTAAAGAGTGGCCACGGATGCTCAGAAGCACTGAGCTTCTCTCATGGCTCCCTGGTTTCCCTGCGGGACAGAGATGGAGTTCCTGCACGGTAGAGCACAGTGTAGTCAGTGCAGGTTCAGGAGCAATGGTGGCTGCATCTGGGTCCTGGCTTCATCGATCACTTCTGGAAACCCGTTCAGGACTCGCGTGCTGGACATTATAACAACATTCAAAGTGGCCATGAGTTTTAGATAAGTAAAATTTTTTTTTTTGCTAAGAAATCTTGTTTTATGAAATTAAAAAAATAATTATTTTTTATAATGTCTATAAAAGGAATGCTGTTCTCCTTTTATTTCCCAGAAATTAATGTTTGTCTGCTGATAGACATGTGCAGGTGAACACACACATGTGAGTGTGAAAGCTTGTATATATGTGGAGACCCTGGGATTGGAGTCTCCCTCGACTGCCCCCTGTGGTGATGTCTTCCCTGTGGAGACCCTGGGATTGGAGTCTACCTCGACTGCCCCCTGTGGTGATGTCTTCCCTGCACCTGCTTTACCCCTGTGTCAGTTATACTTGACCCTCCCTTCCCTTCTGCCCCTCCCCTGTGCTCTTGAGACAGAAAGAAGGGCTCATCTGTACTTGACTTTGTCAGTTCCTAATACTTGGTTAGGCATCAGTATTCCTTCCTTCCTTCCTTCCTTCCTTCCTTCCTTCCTTCCTTCCTTCCTTCCTTCCTTCCTTCCTTTTTGACTTTTTTTTTTAAATTGTACCTCTCCTGGTAGCAGAGCCAGAGTTTCAGAATTCATGGAATTTATTGAGGTTATTTCCATGTTCACTGTGGACTCACTCCTCTGCCGTAGATGCAGAAGGCGCTTGCAGCGCCGGGCACCCAGGTCTGTGAGTTGCAGACTGGAAGCTGTTGCTAGGAGGATGGAGCTTTCCCCAGATGAGTTTTTTTTTTTTTTTGGGGGGGGGGTTTGGCAAACCTTCTGCCTCCAATGTGAGCTTCAAGTCCTTGATAGTCGCTGCCTACAGTGAGTGCTGGGTCAGGACGTGCTACGAAGCCATTTTGTACAATGTGGGTGGCACAGTTTTAAAAGGCAAAGGAAAAAAAAAAGACTGTTCACTTTTTGCCTTTGACCGTACAAATGTAAGTTGTGTAGAAGGCGAGGTGGGAGGCACAAGCCTTGAGCACTGTCCTCCCCAATAATGCCTCCGAGTGCCTTGCCGCTCTTCACAGACCACATTAGAATTCAGTGACCATCAAAGGGAAAACAAGTGGTCCGGATAGATACTTTAATCCAAATTAGCTCCTTCAAAACAGCTTATAAAGAGGGCAGACTAAACTGTCTGTCACAAGCCGGCCCTGCAGAAGGAATGATGGGAATTGGACCAGCAGATGCTGCGGGAGCGTCTTAGATGTGGTTCTTCTGCATCTGGAGCTATTTGCATACAAAGCCAACAGGAAAGCTCAAACATTCCTCCCAAGACCTTGGCAGAGGGGAACCTGGAAGACAGATGCTTTTTTGATTTCATGGTTCGGTCTTTCCGTTCTCCATTCTCCCGGCCAGGAAAGCCTAGGACAGCAAATTGGTCATCCTATTAATCCCCTGCCTCTCTCCACTAGCCCTGCTCTCCCAG